TCTGCTGTAAATACCTGGTTGGAGGACCAGAACAAAGAATTTTTTTCAACTGGGATCCGAGCATTGGAGCACCGCTGGACTAAGTGCATTTCAGTTCAAGGGGACTATGTCGAAAAATAAAAAAAAAGCATTCCGCTACGCACAGTCTTTCACTCCCAAAATACGAACTTTTTGATCGCCCCTCGTAAGTCGAAATTCCGCTTATTTCGAAGTTCAATGCTGGGTCCCGGCGGAACCCCGTAGAATACCATGTTAAAAGCTCCGTTTAACTCGAATTCGCTTATCTCGAATTTCCGGGTATCTCGAATGAAATTTTCACTCCCTATAACGCTTTTCTCGCGGTTAACTCGAATTCAGGGTGAGAATGGTGGAAAAATTCTTCTTGTGGGACTTTTCGATTTTTGAATAGAGTGAATGACAAGAGACCCGATCGGGAGGATGCTCTTTTGTTTCTTTTCTTGCTTCTCCCTCCTCCCACACAGATGCCTGTGGAGAGGATAAAACCTGAGGATTAATACCGAAAAGCTTTGGTTATAAAAAAAATGCCTCCAACATTCGCTCTCACTTCGAACCATTCTGTCCCCTATGTCCCTTGACGTGTTTTTATTTATTTATTTATTTATTTTTTTGGGGGGGAGGGCGATTCCTGATAATTCGAACTTCGGATAACTCGAAACGATTTGCCCGGTCCCTATAAGTTCGAGTTAACGAGTTTTCACTGTATATCTCATTTAAACACACACACACACACATTAAGACAATTTCAAGCGTTACTCGCGATGAATAAATACACGAGGATGATTAGGGCTGAATTTTCATAAGTATTTGAGGATAACTGAGTGCTTCCCGATTAAGTAAAATTGCGCATTAAATTACGTATTGTTTGGTTCAGGACAGGACATGATACCAAACGATTTATGATTCAGTTTGGTTTCTGGGTCAAATTTATATTGCTTTGGGTAAACTGCTTCGCGAAATTCCCATGGAAGGTAGAAAAGTTTCATTTTTCGTCGTTTGCGTCTATACACGTGGGGATGCTGCACTGTTCCTTCGAAGGAGACGTTCCCGCGCCGTTCCAGCACCAAGGTCCAGCTATGATGGCGGTCGGGTTCCGGCAGAAGTTGTGAGCAGGGTGGAGGTCGTCCGGGAAGCCTTCGATCCAGGTGTATCGTTCGTCCTGGATGTTATTCGGAGTGTTTCTCATCCATGGTTGGCAGGGATGGCCCGACTTTGTAACGTTCTTCGTTCCCATGTATTCAGTGCCTCGAGTAGACGTTTTGCATTCCACGGGGCCTAGAAAAGAAACGGGTAGGAATTTGAAAAGAAATATCAGCTGGTGAGTCTCAGAAAACACCCATACTCACTGACGCATTTCCCCGATTTGCGAATACTGCATTGTTCGCCGTTCTTTGCGGGACAAAAGGGAACGTCGCAGTACTCCCATCTGACGCCGGAATCGGTCTGGGTAACGCATGACGGTCCGTGAAACGATCCTTCGGAGTTGCGACAAAAATTGTGGTTTCCGTCAATTTCGTCCGAGAGAGCCGAAAAGTATTTTGATACGGTGCCGAAAACTTGAGAAACTTGAGCCAGCCAATATCGGCAGGGGAACCCGGAAAGTGACACGTTCTTTCTCCCCGCGTATTCTCCTCCGCCTTCCGTCAGTTTGCATTCCGGGGGATCTGGAATAAAAACGCAGTGATCTATCTCGAGAAGCATATAGACCGTTTCGCGGAGGAAACGTGAGACCGACTGAGGTCGTGGCAGAAGGGAATGTCGCAGTATTCAAATTGGATGTTGGGGTCCGAGACGAAGCACCAAGGCCTCTCTCGGTGGATTCCTGGATTCCGGCAGTAATTCTTTTGAGACGTGACATCCCAGTTGAGGAAGCATCCCTCATACTCATTTGCCGAGTGCCAAAAGTCCCACGGCATTCCGTAAGGCTGAGACACCCAATGGAGGCATGGCTTCCCTGTTTCCGTCTCGTTCTTCCTCCCCACGTATTCCTTCCCTTTCTCTGTCTTTCGGCATTCGGGATAAACGTTCCCCTCCGCTCCTTCTTTCACTTCCCGATCGCAAAATGGGATGTTGCAATACTCCCACCCGCTTGCATGGTAGCACCAGGGAGATATGTCACCAATAGGATTTCGGCAAAAGTTGTAATCCTCGCCGATTTCGTCCATGAACCGCACGCTGCCGTATTGGGTGTTCCTCCAGGGCTCGCAGAGAAAACCGGAAAACGTGACTCTCTTCTTTCCAATATATTCTCCTCCCTGTTGAGTCACCTTGCACTCTGGAGGAACTACGCACAGAAAATTCATCGCCTCAGCTCGATGCATTTTCCTCGCGAAAAAATATGTCCTCTATGTGATGTGTGTTTATCGCATCAAATGTTGGATGCGATAAAAACGTGTCACATGGAGGAGAACTTTTTTTCACAATCCAAATGGATTTTGATTAAGCCTGTATAGGTCAGGTTTATGATGCAGCCCTTCATCGTCGAAATTCGGCTTGTATGTCCTGCATTTCAGCAACACCAAAAACGTTCATGCATTGTCCCAAAATGATGTGCATGGCATGCTTGATGCAGGATCTACTTGTAATTTTTTCTATCAGAAGCAGTAGGATCTCACTAGACCCACATTGAACTCAGGCTGAAAGGTGCAATTCACTTTCTAAAAGGCATCATTTTGGACCAACGCTATTTTTTTAACATACACCAGGCCGTGTGGGGTCGCATTTGGACCTCATGTAGTACTTATGTAATGAAATGCCTGAAGCTACAATAGAGACTTTCCAATTTGTACAGGTAAGGGTATTCTATTGAGGATCATTGGAAATATGACTGAAAAATGCAACTTATGTCCAGGGAGACATTTACCAAAAGGCCTGGGGAGGCCTAATAGATTCGATCAAGATTTTTACCCAGAAGCATCACATCATAGGATTAGGTGCACCCCTGAATATGGTACATGAGAAAAAAAGAAGTTGTGCTCATGACGCGATGAGTGCAATGAAGTCAGAAGCAACTTCATGTTCTCAGAAATTTATTTTATTTTATGCCAAACCAAATGGAAAAAGAACGAATACGACACTGTTCGTACCGCACTCATCCTCGAAACACACCCAAAGGAGCACTTCCGTCGATTGCAGAAAGCGACACCGAGCATGGTTCTTTAAAACCATCTGATGAATGATGTCTGATGGAGTCTGCGCTTTCTTTCACCGTTTACCCCTACCAGGGTGGTACTACGAATTCAATCCGAAAATAATTTGTGGGTGCACCAATTGATTCAAGACGGTAGGCTAAAAATACTGGTATTCTTTAGCGTCAGACAAACCTATTGTGGGAATACAGTGGCTTCTGAGCTAAGAGCCCGAATACACAGACCTCATTTAGGGGAGATAACGGGGTCTTTTAGCGAAGGGGCTATTTTATCCCGTAGGAGTCCATGTGTCCTTAAAGGACTGTTAACAATCTATAGTTAATCGCTGTCCGTGCTCGTCTGCCAACATCTTCTTAATGCGATATGTAAAATTGAGGAATGAAATTCGGCACCCCCTTTCCAGACATCATGTATTACTTGCAACTTCATAAAATACATCTTTATCAAAAAATCCTCGTTAAACAAATATTTTCTGGTTACTTAGGGCAAGTGGTATTCCAATGAGACACCAAATTGTGATTTGCAAATGATCTAATAGAACTTTTTACAAATATTCAATTCCTCCAATTCAATCCCATGCGGAGATAAACGCTTATTAAGAATGCTAAAACCTGAATACCTATTAAATGGAAATTGTTTTTATTTTACGTATTTCTCAGATGTTGAAGAAAAAGGATTTCTTCCTTTGTTATTTAGTTCTTCTAGTACCTACAGGGTTCAGACATGCACATCCATAGAAACATCGCGAAACTGTATCAAACGCTGTTGAAAAGGAAAATTAAGAGAAAATTAAGAGATTACCGGGATCGGTGCACATGGGGATGTCGCAGTATTCCCATTGAAGTTGACGGTCGGAAATGAAACACCAGGGCTTTTCCTTTCCTGACGGATTCCGACAGTAGGCTTGCTGGGACCATGAATCCAAGTTGTGGAAATGGGAATCGTACGTCTCGCCAGAAAAGTCTTTTAGGTTCTCGTAGGGTTGGGGGTACCAATTCAAGCAGTCTCTTCCCGTTTCCGTCTTATTCACCTTCCCAACGTATTCTCTTCCTTTCACGGTCACTCGGCACTCGGGGTAAACGTACTTCTTTTTGCCTACGAAACATGAAAGCAGGCAGTAGCAGTGGTAGATTACTTCCAAAGTTAGGTCAATGATCCTGACGTGATCAGCTTTGACAAGGAAAATACTTTGAATAAAGAGTAACGCAAATGAGAATATTTCATGAAGGCACAGAGCAGCTGGCATAACCCCTAGGTGTTTCGGTACAGCCATAATCCGCCAGATCGGAAGCCTTGGAACCATTAATGGGAACTATATTCATCGTCATCGTCAGGGCGACTGCACTGATCAGGCCTGTACCCTTTTATTCTTCCCACCAATTCACTCTAATTTGCTTCAATCGTTTGGTTTTTGGCTTTAAACCAATGCCAGGACGACGTCCACAGAGGCAGTTTTGCCAACTTCACCAGTTCAATCGAGATCGGTTAACGGGCATGATGATGGTTGGGGACGGGACAAAGGACGTCCTTGAGGACTACATACCGGCGTGCAATCCAGGGGGCCTGCCGTTTAGACGACCCGTCTAGCTACCTTTTCCCACCACCAGTTCTTTTCCGTGAACACGAGAAGAAGCGATTCGGTCTCGGAGAATATACATTCTCAAATACCGATCATCTCTGGGCGGTGGGATGCGATGGCGGCGTTATCCTCTTTGCCGTTCATGGTTAACCCCATTCTGATGCCGAGTGCGCCAACGTCGGACGATAGTCACTCCTACACTTAGCCGATGGGCAACCCGACGCATGCTAAGGCCTACCTCCATCATGCCAACTAACGAACCTCGATAGAACTGATGAAGTTGGGAAACTGCCTCTGTGTACGTCGTTCTTTCATGGCTTGAAAGTCGCCCTTTTCCCATCTCTCGGGGCCTGGGGCTAGCTTGGCAAGTTTTCCTGCATCGCTTCATCCTATGACCTTCAAAATTTTCTCCATTGTACTAAACACCAGTTTAAGTTCTATTTTCGTTTTTCAATAATAAACTCCTTCCAGATGTTCTTTATGGGTGATGAGTACGACCCTTTCGACCCCATTTATATTAGGATGTTTGGCAAGTTTTCTCTGTGGATATCCAACCTACGATCTTGAAACTAGCGTCAATTTCATGACCCACTAATACGAGTATGATTACAAAATTTCATCAAGATCGCTCAACTCCTTCTTGGTGGGACATTTCTTTGGCGATTAGTATATTGCAAAAATGTGTTGCAATCTGAGTTTTTACTGCCAGTGAACAAATTGCGTCCGTTGAAGGTCAATGGCCTGTTCATTCTCCACCAGGACAATTCACCACCACACAAAGCAGGTGTTGTAAGAGAGTTTCTGTTGGAAAATGGTATCGAGATCTTGCCCCCCCCCCCCTCATATTCCCCGGACATGGCACCCGGTGACTGGGAGCGAAGGTTGCAACTGTGTAGATGATGTGGGTGATTATGTGCAAGAGTGACTATAGTTTCCATTCAGTACTCCGGACTGTAAATGAGATATGGCTAAACGGTACGAACTTTCTGGTTGCACCTCGTACCTGCCAATTTCACCTCCACATTTCATGACATACTAGGAAGTTAGGATAATAAATTCCTATGCGATACAATAATACATCAAGAACTCGTATTTCAAGAAAAGTAATTACATTGAATTTGATCCTCCTTGAAGGAAGAATACCAGGTATCCGGCAATGAGGAGCATTCGGCTGTGTGGACAGAGGAGCCGTCAGAGAATCCTCCAGGATATTCGCAGCGGAACACGACCCTCCCGCGTGGCGTCACTGGGTAATTCCCGTCCCATCCCTCCAAGGCTTCTACGGCGTTTTGGATCTTTGGATACTCCCGCAGACAAAATTCTGAAAAGGAATGATTTGAGAGTGGGACGCACGGAATGGATTCGTACTGCCTTGTTCTCACTCACCTTGAACGTACGAAGAGAAACCTTCTTCTTCCACGACGCCGCTCGTCCCGCTGCCAACTATCTGGCACAAGCCATCTGATTCCCGATAATTGAAAGCATAGCATGGTGGTTCTCTATTCAAGCATTTCTTCGTGCAGGCTCGTAGGCTCGATTCCGCGGATGTCAATGCCACGTTATCATATCTCATTCCTATACGTGTGGCATAGTAAGTGGGGATGGAATCGATTGATGCCACGTCGCGTAACAAGACACATAAGACAAATTGGATCAAAGACTTGCGTGGAACAAAAAGGAATGGAACCATCGCTATGCTTCGGGCACTAAGAGAACAAGGAACATGACTTTGTGCCTACGTGGTAGGTGGAGGTATTGATTGAAATGTCTGTTTACCACCATATTTCTCGATGTTTGTTTTTTCGGCTGCATGGAGCATTAATTATTCAAATGGAAATCTCGAATGCATGTGTTCGATGGATTTCATTAGAAATACTTTCCAGGCTTCAGGCTCATCGTGTTGAAGACAATGGAATGTACAATATCCGTATTTATATGCTGCAACTGTGAAGCAAGAAAATTCAGCTTCTCCCAGGATTTACCTCGACTCCTGGTTAAGGAGTCGGTCAAATTATTAACCCCTTCGACTGTTTATGCATTCACGTCTATACTTTCTCTTCTGAACCATCTCCTATCGTTTAATGAAGTTCCATCCTTTTGAAAAATAATTTTGGCCCGAATTTATGATGAAAGAAAAACATGCTTTAGGCACCCTACAACAATGGCGAATAACTTTTTTTTCGGAGTTTCCTTATTTTGTGTCGAGGAGCTGAGTACGTCAGGTAAAGATTTACATTGGTGGAGTCCACGTGCACAAAGCAGATAAGACGATTTTGTGATTTACTTATTATGACAGGAGAAAACGGGAATCGTCTCTCGTGAAGTGGAGGTCATGGCTCAATCGGGAGACACGGAATCAATTCCTGGCCATTCCATGGGTTTTTTTGTTGGCTTCTCTTGCCTTCCATTTTCCGTCACTCATTGCCCCTCCATAATATTGTGTTTGCTTGAAGAAAACGGAGAGACATGGAAAACTAGTATTTTTTTCGCTTGCCGTATTGAGTAAGTGTGGAAAAATGAAATTTGGTACATAGCTACCTATTGGGATGCTGGATCTAGAAAAATTCAGGCTTTGGAAATATTGATAGATGCCCTGGGGGAACAAACTTCAAAGGGAGATTTTTAAATCTAATTTTTTTGCATCATTTAAACAGATGAAAATGGAAAGCTGGAACTTTGCATAAGGGTGGAGAAGACATATTGCAATACTTCCCTCCTATAATCTACGCTAATGGGACATATTTCAAAAGTAGGATATTTCCTGTATTCTGCCATCAAATACGTACTTCTGGGAGAAATTTAAATTGTCTGTCTCTGTTTCGTCGGATCAAAAAATAAATCAGGAAAAGGGGACTTCATGAAAGTGCCCTGATAGGTTTTAACGAATTTTTTTTTCTGAAATGTTGACTCTGGTTACTCCATACCACCCACTTTCAGTATTATATATTTCCCCTTTTTACAGGCGATAAAAAAAATATATTTGTAATAGCAACTCACCCAAAAGCTGCGGTCAGAGGATACGCACAGCAAAATTGGAATTTTTCCTTTAATCAACATCACGTCTGTTAGGAGTGCGGCAGCTGCAATTTTCCTATTTCTTCCACATTCGCTAGGATATTAAACATTCTTTGATAACATAAGATTCTCAAGAAATGGCCCCCAAAATTCCAATTTTTTGGAAATTTGACATTTTTCCAGACCTCAGTGCGTCAGTAGTCACGTTCTTGCCAGGTTTCAGCTTTGCATGTGTCTCTATTTGATTGAAGCAAAGAGAACTATTTGAAAATATGTTAACCGAAAAGGTGTGCCCCAGTGGCATGTATCACTAAAGTATAATTTTTCCTGAACTCAGCATACGAATAGTTACTCATGTCAGTCAGCTACTCACGATCCTCTATACATAATAATAATAGAATTATTATTTACTCAGCTATCCATCAGGTTCTTCTTTGCCAGGTTTAAAGTTTCTAACGACCTCTGTTTTGCTGGATGGAGAAAATACGCATTTTTTTTCATGTGCCCACAGGCGTTTTAAATGAAAAGTACATTTGAAATCAATCCTCAGAGAACTACATGCCCACAAAGTTTCAACCTTATACGTTTGCCCTTTTCGCTGGTGAAAAAACGTGTTTAGAAAAGCCGACGCACCCAAAAGCCATGCCCGGAGGGGATGTACCATGAAAGCTGAATACTCCCTCAACTCAATCATAATATCATGTAAGTTTCAGCTTTCCAGGTTCATCAGTTTAACTGAGGGAAAAAAATAGTAGAAAATATCTGCCTTTGAAATTTGTGTATCAGGGCATTTATTTCTAAAGTTTCAAGTTTTCTGCAGCATCCCATTAGGTAGTTATGTTCCAAGTTTAATCTTTCCACACCAGCTCAATATGCCAGAAAAAAAAAATCTTGAAAACGTCGGCCCCCAAAAATATGCCACCGGGGCATATGATCTGAGGCATATGATCTGAGGACCTGATGGATTGCTGAGCAAAAAAAAAGTTTACTATTAATATATATAGAGGATCATGAGTTGCTGACTGACCAAGATCGCTATTCGCATGTTGATTTCAGGAAAAGTGCTACTTTGGTGATACTTTCTATAGGGGCATACATTTTCGGGGAACATATTTTCAAATAGTTTTTTTGCTTTATTGAAATGGAGAGATATGGAAAGCTGAAACCTGACTGCTGACGTACTGAGCTCAAATGTCAAATGTCAAAAATTCCAAAATATTTTACTTTGGGGGGGCATATTTCTTGGCGACTTAGAATTTTCATAGAATTTGTCATATCCCAGCGAATCGGGCAGAAATAGAAAAGGTGCAGCCGGCGCACGCATAAGGGATGTGGTGTTGATTTTTGGAAAAATTCAGATTTTGGTGTGCGTCTCCTCAGAGCACAACTTTTGGGCTTGTCGCTTTTCTAAATACATTTTTTTTCCGCCAGCAAAAAGAGGAAACGTATTAGGATGAAACTGGGTGGCATGGAGTTCCCTGAGTCTACATTTCATGTAGAACTCTTTTTCTTTCTTCCTGTCATGTTTCTAGATCTTTTTTCATAGGGAACAGTTACATTTCTACTTCAGAGTTGGCTCTCTCTGACATAAACTTAGGTTCGGATTGCAGCTGATTTACTACTTATACCTGTTGATGATCCCAGTGCATTGGCTCTCTCTCTTTGCCAATCTCTCTTTGATTAAAAGACTAGGGAAGTTGTAGAACCCTTCGGGCACGAATCTCCACACCAGGGGAAGTCTCTTAGTGCCAAACAGTGGTCCTGTAGGTAGTGACTTGAGCATCGTCATGTCTGCATGCACAGAACGCTATGGACTTAGTTCCTCCAGGAACCAAAGGTGTGAACCTTATTCAGCTAATGGACTGTGCAGGAGCGGTGCATGCAGGACGGACTTAAGTTGTGGAAGCTTTCTGTTACATCTGTTGCGGCAGCCACTTCATCCATATTTAATGATTATTCCCTGGTGCGGATATGTCGGAGAGGGTTTCACTGCACTACAAGTAGGATCGTGCCCTTGACGAGACTCCTACGACTTGCCAGTCTATTAGGCCTCCTTAGCTATACTTTGCCTTTTTAATATTCTCTTCTCATTTTCTCGCAATAGTTAGGGCCTGTGCTGGCCGTAAGGTTTGGCTTGATCAGCATGATTTTCTCACTTATATATATATATATATATGTACCTGAAGCCTGGAAAGTCGCTGAATACGTCATTCAATCGATAAGATTGGGGAAAAAATTAAATTATTGAAGGGGAATACGACAGGTGCATACACACCATGGGCGAACCAGGACTAAAGACGAAAACGAGGACAAGAGGAAGAAAACATCATTGATCAACAAATACCCTGTAAATATTATGAATCTCCCAATGGAATAATATAACTAATAAAGCACCAAATCGTGCTAATCCCAAGCTCTGCATTGATTCCGATTGACTCAAACTTTTGGTATCTCCTTGCTGATGTCAGCACTGGATGTTTGGAATTTCTAAATTCACGAACCGGGAAACTGCAAAATGGTAGAACTTAGTGATTAAAATAAAATACGATAATACGACAAACGTGGACATGAAATGGGCTGGCCTGGAAGACTGACCGAAAAGACCAGGAAGAGGAGGATGCGATCATCAATCATCCTGCATAGGAAAACTCAACGCTGTAGACTTGAAGAAAATCGAAGAGCCAATAAGAGGAGACCACCAAGGTCGCATTGACGTCAATACAGTACATTCGAAGGTTTATAGTCCAACTATACGTATCCAACCGTAGTCATCCCTACCTTTCCGAAGAATACGACCGAAACTATGGGAACTCGCAGCTCACGAGCAGAGGGGAAAAGGGCCATCCTGGCGTTCATTATTCTTTTTTCGGACTTTACCACGGCCAATTTAATTTCGTATTACGCTGTGCATCCTGGGCAGAGATACGTGAATGTGACGTTGGAATCCAATAAACCGACTCTCGGAGTTAGCAGCATATTTTCAGTGATGGATGAACCAGGTCCTTGCTTCGCCTTCTACTAACTAGAAACCGACGGTTCGTACCAGTTTGGTTCATCACGGGAACGACTTCCTCGTGGAAGGTGAAAGATACCAGTCCTTCTCGCAGAGTGAGTTTAAAGCCATGCAGTTTCATCGCAACGGATTCGGAGACTCGACCGTAAACCTCCCTTCTTCATACACAGGGTTGTGCCTGAGAGAGCCCCCGAATTTTCCGAATGCACTTACGTCCTACGAGGGGAGGAGCGGAGGTTTCCCCCACCAGTAGGAGGGATTGTGACGTTCCGATGTGATCATCCAAAAGGATTCACGGATGGAGCTCCACTTCACACGGCGGAATGCTCAGCTAACTTCCTGGATTCCTGATGCATCTCCTTCCAGGAGGGAGACGTTCATTGTAAGAAAGTAACATGTCAGAAAATCTCCTAATTTTCAATACAACACGAAGCACACCGCCTTCAGTGCGAAGATTTAACCCCAACTATATGGAAAGAAACCCATCCCTTTTCCAAGATTGTTGCATTTCATTGTCTATATTCTTCTGAAGGAAACCCGAAAGA